AAGTCCAACATGGCACACATTGACAACGTTTCTAGAAAAAATTATTTGATATCTATAATACAGATGAAATATATTTCCATGTCTTATTTGTTGTTTTGTCGCCCAGATGCAGAGGCCGGGGGTATATCCTCCTTTTCCAAAAAAAAAATCTCTTATTTGTTTTCTTGTCTAAAACTATTTTATGAATTTGGTATTAAACATATTTGTAATGTTGTCCTGTAAAACATAGAAATAATGTAATATGAACTATATATTGAAGTAGAGGGAATGTAAAAACTAATATGCACTACATATTTAAATCAAGGAATTATATAACTGGAAACTGGAGAATAAATGCTAACACTATACATGTGATTCACCGATGTCACTTTGACCCTTTCGATATGCACTTTAATTAATTTTGGGTGCCGGTGAATGGTAATAAAATAGCTGCTACTGCAAGATTACGGTGAGCTCCAGGTGCTCCTCGGTCCATTATTGGGGTTTGAGGCCACACAACCACCTTGGAGGTTACCTTTATTATATAATAGTTCTTTTTGCTTGATTATAAGCTTTTTTAGCCTATTTTCACTATAAGCTATTAGTATGAGTTGGTAGATACTGCTCTTTTCGTGTTTTTAATGAATTGGTTGTGTTTGCTGGCACATGCTAAAATTTATTGATGACCTCATGGGTAGGTTCCCCCTCCATGTAAAAACATAGTGCAAAACTACTTTTGTCCCAAAATCAAACCTTGTAAGATTTTCAAAAGGCTATTAAAAATCTATGGACATCTACAGTACCGATGAAATATATTTCCATGTCTCTTATGTATTTGGTATCGAAGATGTATTTTTTCCTTATAAAACTTCAGAATATCTAATATGTAATGTATATTGAAAAGAGGGAGTATAAAATTGGATATTGGAGAAAGATATCCTAATATTAAATGTGTGATTCCCAATATTTGTTTGACACTTTCGATATAAAATTGACACTTCTTTCTGGTGTCGGCAGATAGTAATACAACAACTTTCACTCCTGCATTATGTGTGAACACGACAACAGAATATTGTTTACTATGAGTGCACTGACTGTAAATAATCTTAGTGAAATAAGGGCACTAAGTTATTCAATGTTTTGGATAGAAGCCGATGATAAATTATACATGATCCTCACTAGCCAAATACATTTCTCACAAAGGCTAAAGAGCAATAATAACGAAATACAAAAGCCAAGCATAAAGAATACCATGCAGCTTGACGAACATAACAAAAAGTAACAGCTAAACGCTGATATAACCAAGGTCTAAGGAGGGTGGAGAATTTCATTTATCACTTGGTGTACTTTTATGACTTTCATATAAATTTCAAGAAACTAATGCAGTTTGTGTTTTGATCCTTGCATTTTACTGTACACCAGGTGACCTACTTCAAGTGTGGAGCTGTCTCCCTCGGTGTTGGAACACAACACCATGTCGCTGATGGCATGTCCGGGTTGCACTTCATTAACTCATGGTCTGATCTCTGCCATGGGGCTAAAATTGCAGTCATGCCCTTCATTGACCGCACCTTGATCCGCGCTCGAGACCCCCCAACTCCATGTCACCCACATGTTGAGTATCATCCATCCCCAGCATTGTTGCCATCCATAACCCAGGATCTCTCTTATAAGGCAACATCGTCTGGCACTACTGTTGACATCTTCAAGCTCACCAGCTCAGACATTGGCCGCTTGCGCTCGCAGCTTCCCAAAGGCGACGATATTCCACGGTTCAGCACATACACAATGCTATCTGCGCATGTCTGGCGTTGTGTCTCTCGCGCGCGTGGCTTGCCATCTGAACAGCCTACCAAGCTGTATTGTGCCATTGATGGGCGGAAACGGCTGAATCCCCCACTACCAGAAGGTTTCTTAGGCAATGTGTTGTTCACCGCCACACCGATTTTGGAGGCAGGCTGTTGTGCCGCTTCTTCTTCTACCCCTCGTTGTCTCTCACAACTCTCTCCTCTCTCAAGCGAACAAGATCGCACACTTGGAAGGAACACACACACACCTCACCGTGGAGGAACCAGCTTTGCTTTGTTCTCCCGGTCAGACACACATATGCTACATCCTTTCTCCTCAGCCCTCTCGGCCTCACTCCTTACATTACTCCGATGCAAGATATATATACACATAGCCAGGGGCTAATGGCCTCATGCAAATCCCATGCGCACGCACGCACACATAGCCCGGCCGGCATACTCGCCACTAACCGCACCACCTCCTTGCATGCAGTAAGCCACTAACTAACTAACCCATATCTACATGCACGTACTAACTGGCCTTATCTTACTCCTTGCTAGAATCACTCCAACTGCCACAAGACTCGGCCATATTCAGCAGCCACCGCAACGGCCAGGCTCAACTTGATCTTCCAACCCATCACGCTCCAGCGACCATCGCGTCGTGCCGCATCTCACGGCTTGGCCGTATCTCACAGCAACATTGACATCTCGTCGTGCTCGCCGCGTCGCACGGCAGCTTGACATCTCATCTTCTCCGCGTGCCTCCGCTGAAGCTTCACCGCACTAGCTACTCTCTAACCTATCCTACATGCACAACGAAAGCAAACTAAATATGCAGATACATGGAATCAAGATTAAGTCTAACATTCACCCCCTAATCTTGATTCTCCTATCATCAACGCAGATCCCCCACAACCACTTGACAACGTCATCGCAGCGCCGTGCACCTTGCCGTGGACGACGCCGTCGCAGCGCCGGACACCCCCATGCACCATCTTGTCGTGGTCGACGCCATCGCAGCGCCGGACACCACCATGCACCATCTTGTCATGGTCGACGCCGTCGCAGCGCCGGACACCACCATGCACCATCTTGTCGTGGTCGACGCCTTCGCAGCGCCGGACACCATCATGCACCATCTGGTCGTGGTCGACGCCGTCGCAGCGCCCATCACCACATCGTCCTGCCGCACGCAGCGGCCACCTCATGACGTGGACGACGCCTTCACAACGCCGTCGCAGCGACCCATCTTGCTGATGGCATCACACCACCCTAGACAGCATCGTCGACGAGCTTGACGCCGATCCTTATGACGGCTTCGCGCCGCCGTACCTCCCAACGGCGTCACACCGTTGTCTTCTTGTGGCAGCTTCACGCCGCCATCTCCAACTAGCGGCATCGCACCGCAACCGGCCATCAGCGGCATCGCACCGCCGACGACCTCCACCTCACGCCCATGTCCTCCACCTCACATGGAGTCTGCCAAGTCGCCGCCGCCGCGGCCAGTCGCCCCCGCCACCGCCACACCGGCCACCATAGCCGCCAGCACCACCGTCGCCGCCACGGATCAACAAGGCTCTGATACCAAATGTTGTGCCGCTTCTTCTTCTACCCCTCGTTGTCTCTCACAACTCTCTCCTCTCTCAAGCGAACAAGATCGCACACTTGGAAGGAACACACACACACCTCACCGTGGAGGAACCAGCTTTGCTTTGTTCTCCCGGTCAGACACACATATGCTACATCCTTTCTCCTCAGCCCTCTCGGCCTCACTCCTTACATTACTCCGATGCAAGATATATATACACATAGCCAGGGGCTAATGGCCTCATGCAAATCCCATGCGCACGCACGCACACATAGCCCGGCCGGCATACTCGCCACTAACCGCACCACCTCCTTGCATGCAGTAAGCCACTAACTAACTAACCCATATCTACATGCACGTACTAACTGGCCTTATCTTACTCCTTGCTAGAATCACTCCAACTGCCACAAGACTCGGCCATATTCAGCAGCCACCGCAACGGCCAGGCTCAACTTGATCTTCCAACCCATCACGCTCCAGCGACCATCACGTCGTGCCGCATCTCACGGCTTGGCCGTATCTCACAGCAACATTGACATCTTGTCGTGCTCGCCGCGTCGCACGGCAGCCTGACATCTCATCTTCTCCGCGTGTCTCCGCTGAAGCTTCACCGCACTAGCTACTCTCTAACCTATCCTACATGCACAACGAAAGCAAACTAAATATGCAGATACATGGAATCAAGATTAAGTCTAACACAGGCAAGGTGGTGTGTGGGTTGGCAGATGCAGCAAAGATAATCCAAATGGAGCTAGATAGAATGGATGATGATTACTGCCGCTCAGCATTGGACTATCTTGAGCTGCAACCTGATTTGTCGGCATTGGTCCGAGGAGCCCAAACCTACCGTTGTCCGAACCTTGGAATCACTAGCTGGGTGAACCTACCGGTCCACAACGCAGATTTTGGATGGGGCCGGCCGGTGTTCATGGGTCCTGGCGGCATCGCATTTGAGGGGCTTGCCTACGTCCTCCCAAGCGTACACAATGATGGGAGCTTGTCCATCGCAATCTCGTTACAGGCCGACCACATGAAGAAGTTCCGAAATCTGATCTTGGAACTGTAAGTGAATTGGCATTAGTTACCCTATGCCAAAATCAAGTTGATAAAATTTATCTTTGATCTGTAATCTATTATCTTGTACTTCCCTTTGGATACGCCATATCTGTTACTCTGGACCTCTTTCACAATAAAACACCAACGGTAGTTAGAAGACATATGTCTACACCCTTTGTCCAATTACTGCTAGTTTTAGCTACAAATAATGCAAATATTCCTCTGGTAGCACGCATTATAGTCAGCTACACATAAAAAAAAGGAAACTCGGTGCATGTAACTCCTGCTTGCGTCGACTACATGTAAGAGAAAAAAATGTTATATGTTACATGTCTAATGGCAAAGAAAATTGAAAAATCATGTCACCAAAGATTTGCCATTATAACACTCAGAAAAAGTGTGTATTCTGAGAGCTACACAATCGACCAAGGTGGCACCACTGCAAACTCGTAACCCGTAGGGGTATTTGTCAAGCGCCACACCGCCGTATTTGGTAAAGGCTGCCACATGGCGCGCTCTGGTATCGTGCCAGCCATAAAATAGGCTGAATGTCGGAAGTTGAAAGAGTGACTATGTGTTTGGCCGGTATCGGCACTCGGCAAAGAGGATGTGGCACTACTAGGGAAAATCCTAGTAGTTGCGTAGGTTTTAAGGCTATCAGTAGTACGGGTAGCCGTGCTACTACTACGCCGCTATAGCTAACTGGTGCGCGCGAGCGGGGGAGGGGGTCTAGATAGGCAATGCATGTATCTAGAAAGAGAGGATGGGAGGGAGAGAGAGAGAGAGCTCAACATGGAGTGCAATGGCGGGTGTGTGAGAGAGATACATTTTTTGACAGAGTGCAAAAAGGGGGTTGTGTATTTGAGAGTGTTAGAGATCAAAACATGGAGAGAAAGAATCAGCGTGTGTTGGAACTAGCTTTGTAAGGTGGTTAGGAGAGGAAGATTG